GGCCAGCCCCATCATATATACTTTTTATTGAGATAGAAAATACATACTGTAAGGTGTATTAAGTGACTAAATCTTAACTGTAGGCTCAATGAATTTCTGCCCATGTAACCAACACTCAGATCATTTCCATTGTTGTAGATCTGCACTGCCCAATATAAACTGAAATTAATTTAACTCATCTTAAAAATCCTTTTATGCAGTCACACTAGCCACCTTTCAAGTGCTCAGTGGCCAATGGCTAGCACAGATTGTTGAACATTTCCATCATCACAGAAAGTTTTATGGGACAGCACTGGTGGTCATACACTATGCTAATCGTATCCACCTACCTCCCAGAGGGAACCACTATCTGACTCTGTCACCATAGACTCTGTCCTTGAACTTCATAAAAGTGATATCATGCAAATACAGTATGTACTCTTACTGTATTTGGCTTCTTTTATTCAGCATAATGTTGGTGAGACCCATTGATGTGGTTGCTTGTAGCAGTAGCTTGTTCTTTTTCATTACTGTATAGTATTCCATTGCATGATTATATCACACTCTGTTTATCCATTTTATTGAGGACATTTGGTTTGTCGCCAGTTTTTCACTGTTGCGGATCAAGCTGCTGTGTGAACATTCTTGTCTGTAACTTTTGATGGACATGTGTCTTCATTTTTATTGGCAAATTGCTGGATCACAAGGTAGACATTTATTTAGTTTTAGTAGATACTGCCAAATGATTTTCCAAAGTGGATTCCCACGAGCAACATAGGAAAGTCCCAGGTGCTCTCTACCCTGGCCACCACTTGGTATTGTCAGTCTTTTTAATTTTTGCCATCCTGGTGGGTGGCAAGATTCAGGTTTGAAAATCCCTGAATACCAACCGCACTGTGCTACCACCGTTCCTCCCTCCAGGGCTGCCCAAGATGGAGGTGTGCCAGGAGTACTATGGGCTGCCTCCACCCCCGGGAGCCTTTGGACCTTTTCTACGGCTCAATCCTGGAGACATCGTGGAGCTCACTAAGGCCGAGGCTGAACAGAACTGGTGGGAGGTACAGGCTGGGGCTGTGGGAGTGATGGAGAAGGACCCTAGAGTGGGATCATGGGTATAGGTGACCCAGAGACTCTGGCAAGGGAAGGCTGGTCTGGAGGAGGCACCTGGGGACGGTGGTGTAGACAGAGATCTGGGGCTGGCCTGGCTCTTCTGAGTTGGCCATCTTCCCAGGAAGTTGATACTGGTTGGCACCTCTCTGGGTCATCCAGCCCATAGAGATAGAGAGGGACAGGTGGAGTGGCCATTGGGTAGAAAGATGGACACACACATGCGCAGATGCCTATAACCTCTCTGTCCATTTTTCTCCCTTCTGGCTTTTTAGGGCAGGAATACTGCCACCAATGAAGTTGGCTGGTTTCCCTGCAACAGGGTGAAGCCCTACGTGCACGTGAGTACCTCAAGTCTGGACGGAGCGAGGGCAAGGGGATCCCCAGGGGTTCCTGCAAGGGTGGGCAGGCTTGGGGGGACACCCTTGAGATAATGAGGTGGCTGCCCATTATGGAAGGTCATTTTCAAACTCAAAGTTCTGCCAACTTCTGTCCCCATTAAACACTAACTTCTCATCGCCCCACTTCCCAGCCCCTGGCATCACCTTCCACTTTCTGTCTCTATGACTCTGACTCCTCTAGGGACCTCCTGTGAGTGGAATCACACAGTATCTGTCCTTTTGTGTCTCAGTTAGCACGATGTTTTCAAGGTTCATCCATGTTGCAGCAGGTGTCAGAATGTCCTTCATTTTAAGATGAAATAATCTTCAATTGTATAGATGGATCACATTTTGTTTCTCCATTCATACATCGATAGACGCTTGGGTTGTTTCAACCTTTTGGCTACTGTGAATCATGCTGCTGTGAACATGTGTGCGCAAGTATCTCTTTGAGTCCCTGTTTTCAATTCTTTTGGTTCTGTACTCAGAAGAGGAATTGCTGGGTCATATGGTGATTCTTTTTTTTTAAAAGATTTTATTGGGGAATTGGGGGAGGGGAACAGCGTTGGCGAATCGGGGGAAGGGGAACAGACTAGTTGCTGTCCTTTTGTTCTTCAGTCTAGTTGTGGAGGATGTTGCTTTACTGGCCCATGTTGGTATTATCATTGTGCTCTTCCTGGGTGAGGCAGATCGGTTGCTGGCCTCTGGACAGCTGCTCATG